AGAGGAAAGGGGGGAGGATGCTAACAGTCAGACTGGAAAAAAAAAAAAGCAGCGCCGCGAGACAACGCACGCCGGTTGCTGCACGTGCTCTGAAACTAACATAAAACACACTTGGACATCCGTGAAGAGGTCCTTGCAGACTGGAGGGGAGGTGGCCTGGAGGGAGGGAAGGAAGAAGAGCAGGATAAGGTATCGGAGGAGAGGGGTGCCGAAAAGACAACGGAGAGAGCGCACTTTGCAGACATAACATACTTGAATCCGTTGATGAGTTCCTTGCAAGAGGCCGGATGGTTGGTAGCAAGGTTTGGCGAGGCATTCATTGATGTCGACCTCGCCCTTGCGCGCCCTCGTACCCCGGCCACGCAGCGACACTCATACGCTCCCAGCTGGTCGGATGCACGTCGCGCCGGTGCTGGCACGGGAGTTGCGGCTTGCATCGTTGATCTCGTACTCGCAGCCGATGGCGAATGTGCCCGCCGCGCACCAGCACCACAAAGCCCGATTCTGCCAGGAAAAGAAGGAGCGCTGTGCATGTGATCGAGTATGTGTTTGAGGAGTGCAAGAGGTGGCCTTAGTAGAGAGAGATGCAGGAGAGAGAGGAGAGAGAGAGGAGACGAGAGAGAAGAGAGCAGAGAGACAGAGATTAGAAAGGTTGTAGCAGCGTACGAAGCACAAAGAGATTCTGTTAAAGTGCGAATTTTAAAAAAAATTGCGCGAATTCTAAAATTCTTCTGTTAAAGCGCGATTCTGTCAAACACTAAGCGATTCAGTGGGGAAACAGAAAGAGAGAGAGAGTGATTGTAGCAGTTGACTGTCGATCGTATCAATCGTAACTAGGCGTGTGCTGTTGCTGCGAGTAGCGACGCAAGACGATAGGCCAAAGTGTCACTCATGCCGCATCATGCCATACTGCATGGCATTGACGGCGGTGGCGTACGCAGTGCCATGTCATGTCGCATCATGCTGCGTCACGCAGCGCCACCGCCACGCCATGCTTTGCATCTCACGCAGCCGCCACGGCCACGCCATGCTTGCATCTCACGCAGCCGCCACCGCCACGCGCATGTCTGGGCATCTCACGCAGCGCCAACAGTCACGCCACGTTGCACTCTCACGCCGCGCACGTCCACAGCCGGCCGCCGGCGTCACACCGATGCTGCATCACGGCCATCGCTGTGTCACGGCGCGCCGTGTCCACCATGCCTGCAGTACGCCGATGCTGGTGTCACGGCCATCTGGCCATCACACCATGTGATCTACGCCGCGCCGCGCCATGTTCCCGCAGTCTCGCCCGACGCACGCTTGTCGATACCCTCACAGCTGCCCCCGGTTCCGCGCACGGGGTTGCTCCCGCACTCGTTCCTTTGTCGCTCGTGCAGCGCGGGCCCGTACTCAGCCGTCCAGACACGCGCACTACCGCATAGCCGTTGATTGTGATGGTCCGTAGTCTACTCAGTTTAGTTATTGCGCCGTTCTCACACATTATTTGGAGGTATTAGTTATTTCGGAACGGACATCTCAGTCAATGTTTCTCCTGGCATGTGCGTGCTTCTGCGGAACGGATTACTACTCGGAAAATCGCTATATTGGAACACAACATATCAGCATCCTCCATCATTCACCATCACAAGAACCTTCATTCACGGCTCAGACGCGAAATCTCCGAATGCAATCGTGTGTGCCTTCAGCAAAGCAGCAAACACTATGCCGAAACCATACGGAACACGACACGCGGTCTCTCGCATGTTCTTCCTCGCACGTGCCGTGCAAATGGGAAAGAAAACACAATGCTGAACGCTACACTGACACATAGGATAACATAAAGAACACACGGAACATGTCGAACACACAGAACATACGGAATAATGCGCATTAGAATTATGAACAGCGATCAAGGTAGATCAACATTCTTAGGAATTTTGACAATTAGGAGAAAGGAGGGAGTGGAAAGAGGAAGTAAGAGCCTTACCTGTGTATCCGGGGAAGCAGGCGCAGGCGTAGGAGTTGATGCCATCCATGCAATTACCACGGTGCTGGCATGGGTTACTCGCACACTCATTCTTGTTGATCTGACAGTTTCTCCCTGCAGAGCCGAAAAACACGTTAAAACACGTTAAAACACGTGAAGTCTGAATGCACATACTAGCAGGAGTGAATGAAAATTATGTGTTGTTTTGTGTTGAGTACAACAACAAACAACAAACTGAATTATCGAACTAAACTAACTCAAAACTAAACTAACAAGAAAAAACAAACAGAAATTTTTGTTTTTTGATTTTAGAGCTAAACTAACTCAAAGAAATGGACACGCATTACGTATGAGTTACGTGTGGAATAATCAGGTACAATCATCTTCAAAACCTCACGATACTATCGATAAACCCCCGTGAAATCACACAAATCACTGCACATTCTAACGCGCACTTAATTGCACATTCATTGCAAATCTAACATGGGAGCAGGCCACCATGGAGCAGGCATCTGAGCAGGACGTTGCCCCGGCAACAGTCGGCGACGCATCGCGCACGTTGCCACGGTGACGATCGGCGATGCGTCGCGAACGTTGCCATGGCAACGGACAAGGACTCACCGCTGGTTCCAAGTGGGCAGCTGCAGGTGTAGCCGCTGATGCGGTTGATGCACGTGCCACCATACTGACACGGGTTGCTGTCGCACTCGTTAATCTCCGTCTCGCAGTAGCGCCCCGTGTAACCCGCGTCGCACCTACACGCACAAACACATGAACATGCGTAACACGTCAACGTCAATTAATTCATCAAATTTTTACTTCTTTATTAATAAATGCACAACGTCAGCGCTCGCCGCAAACGTTGACGATGACTTCACGTTCGGTTTGAGTTAGCGGGCAGAAACGGAAGGAAGTGAAATAACAGTGAAGGAATGTACTCGTACTTTTACTTGTACTTGTAGTTGTACGAATGGAATATGCGATCCATGAATATACGAAGCATCATTAGCCGCAACGACCAAACTATAGATTTTTCCGTCAAAAATCTAATACCGACACATAACACCCATAATCCAGTAGGCGTCCACCAGTGGGACATTAACTGCGGCAATTTTATAAAACCAAAAAAAAATTTAAAAAAATTTTCTTTCGCGACCGCAGATGGCGCCATTACTCACCGGCACTCGAAGTCGTTGACGTCATCGATGCAGCGCCCCTTCTGGCAGCGAACGTTCTCGCAGTCGTCAATGTTGATCTCGCAGTTCCGCCCCGAGAATCCTACCGGGCAGCTGCATCCGTAGCCGGAGACGGCGTCAAAACACGAGCCGCCATTATGACACGGACGCGCGAGGCAATCGTCTATGTTCACCTCACAGTTGGTGCCCGTGAAACCTGGGGAAGCGGACGCAGAGGTTGTTAAAGTGATTACGTCACCGTAAATAGTAAAAATAACTCTCTCTCGTCACCCCGCCCTCACCCCTGCACGCGCACACACTCACCCCACCCTCACCCACACTCACCGCTCGGACAGTAGCACTTGTATCCGGCGATGTCGTCATGGCAACTGCCTCCGTTGCGGCACGGGTTGGGCACGCAGTCGTTGGTGTTGTGTTCGCAGTGGACGCCGGTGAACCCGGGCATGCACACGCACTGGTAGCCTCCCTCCTTGTCCAGACACGTGCCCTCGTTGACGCACGGACGCCGCTCACACTCGTTGATGTTAGTTTCGCAGCGCGGTCCAGTGAAGCCGGCGTTACATACACATCGGAAGGACCCGGGCATGTTCTCGCACGTTCCCTGGTGTTCGCACGGATCCGAACCTACGCGCGCAGGGAGAAGAGACGTTCACATTATTATGTTATTATTATTATTATTATTATAAGTAAGATAAAGTACGAGATATAAGTAAGATAAAATACGAGATATAAACAAGATAAAGTACGAGATATAAGTAAGATAAAGTACGAGATATATACGTCAGATAAAGTATGAGATATAAGTAAAATGAATATAACGAGATATAAGTAAAGTATAAGAGCGTAAGTAAGAACATAATGCATGCGTGCAACTCACATGAGAGGCATTCGTCGATGTCCGTGTCGCAGTTGCGTCCGGTGAAGCCGACGTCGCAGATGCAGGAGTAGGTGCCGTTGAGGTTGATGCAGGTTCCGTGTCGGCATGGCGACGTCTGCATGCACTCGTCTATGTCCTGGTCGCAGAATCGCCCCGTGTAACCTGCAAGAACACGTACCGCACGTGAGCACACAGACGACTACGATGGCGACAGTAATGTTAAGCCAAAATGACATTGGTGATGATGGTGGCAATAGCAGTCACAGCAGCAGCAGTATCAGCAGCAGCAGTAACAGCAGCAGCAGTAACAGCAGCAGCAGTATCAGCAGCAGCAGTAACAGCAGCAGCAGTATCAGCAGCAGCAGTATCAGCAGCAGCAGTAACAGCAGCAGCAGTATCAGCAGCAG